CACAACTAAGGAAGTCTTCTATATAATTTCTGAATGTTTCAGCATAATTTTTTATTATTTAAATATTGATGAATGACACAAGGACATGTTTTATTCATATGTTTCCTCTCTCGTATTTAACTAACCATATACAAAAGATATTATGATTAAAGTATCATTTCCATATAATGATAATGCTTTAAATGATGATAAATTGTAAAAAATACAAGAGACCTCAACAAAGTTGTAAACTGATGCAGACTCTTTCCAAGTATTCCATCAAGGAATTGCATAAGAATTTACAAGAAGACACCATAACTTATTTCAAATTCCAGTATAAAAAGGTCTTCACAAGATTTTTAAGGGGCAATATGTACATGTAGCTTGAGAGGAAGGGGAGAGAATTATATATACCCCTAATTACTAGTTTAAACTCTAACAAGGGAGAAATGAACTTGAACTAAAAGGTATACGAACACAACCAATAAACTGAAACAAATTGTTGAAAGCAACGAACCACTGAACTCAGTGCTCGATTATTACCAACTTCCATCTCTCTTCTTCGATTCCTTGGTTTGGATCACCATCGCCAAATACAAATGAGAAAATCTAAAAGAAAACATTTATAAAGTCAATACTTTCAGTTTAAACAAAACTAGGAAAGAGCCAATAAAAATAAAGAATGATTCAGACCAACACATACAGATTCAACGAATTTCATCTTATTATCATCTGTTTGTGGTCGTCGCCTCCTATAGTAATATGGATCCCAGTACCTTAATGAAATAAATAGTAAGGGAAGTGTTAGCAAAAGTCTCTTCCAAGTTTCAACGAATAAAATAACTAAACTTGAAACCCTTCCATATTGTTATGAAAAGCATACTTAACATGCAAGTATAGAATGCATTACCAAAAGAGGTCAGTGGGGCTGAAGTAAAAATTGAACCCCGAATCATACGACCTTCCTCCCCGTCTTCCGCGATTGTCATCTTCACTGTAACCGAAACACTAATGTCAATCATCCTTCCCACAATATAAACGTATTTATCAATAAAAACAATAACGGTGCCCTAAAAATTTACCTTCTACCAGAAGACAGAGCAACAACAATTGCAGTATAAACAAGAACAATGGAAGCAATTAGGGCAGTTCCAAATAATCGATAGCCTTGAATATGGTAGTCATGCATTCATAACAAATTCTTTGAATTACTCATTGTACGTAACATTTCTTCAGCAAATAAGCCAAAACAAAGGATCAATGATTATCATTGATATAACCAATTGGAAATTTGGATACAGTTGAATAAACTTATACCTCAATCCCCAATATGATAGACAAAGCAATAGCTTATACTCCTTGAAGCCCTCTTGGACAGGAGGGGTTAGTATTTGATAGGAACTATTTTAGTTATATAGGGTGTACTTAGATTATAAGGTGTACTCGGTTTTGGTAGTTAAATAGGGTGTACTTAGATTATAAGGTGTACTCGGTTAATTTTAGGGTTCGTTTAGCACTACTCTTTGGCTTATTATTGATTGTTGTATTTGGTATTTCAGGGTTCAGAGTGCAGTTATGGCAATTGTATCACATCTATCATTTTTATTTTTTTTATAATTTATAAAAAGTTTTTTTTTTTTTTTTTTTTTTCACTTGAAGGCTCATGGAGAAGAAGACTTGTGCACGGTAGTTATTGCAACAAACTTATGATTTTATTTTATCTAATTGTTATTGATTGTTGTATTTGTTGTTTCAGTGAATTCTTTTCAGATTACAATTCTGGAGATTGCATCGCAGCAACCATTTCGGTTTTCCATATTACTGATAAAATGTTATCCTTTTTACTTGAAAGGGTAATGGAGAAGAAGAAATCTGTACAACAGTTAATGCAAGCACCAAGTCGACAATAACATTTTTGACTATATAGATGCGTATTTGATTTGAGATACAAATTTATGGTGGTTTTAGCATCGATTGAAAAAATATACGAATAAATGCAAATAAATTGATTTTACATATTCAAATTTACATTCGTCCCGTCATTGGAGCAAAAAACACATTTGCATCCCCCCTATTGTGAACTTTTGGCTGACATAATATGGTCCCTCTCCCCCGGAGATTGAATTCTTCATCTTTCATTCATGTACAGCAATTTTTTTAGGCATAATAATATTACCCAACTTCAAAATATTTGTATATATATATGAATCAAATAGTATTCGTTCTCATATAGTAATGCGCATTTTAAAACAAAAGACAACAAATTGAAAAAGAAGTGAATTTGTTATCAAAGTTGCAAAAAATGAAAAACTCAGATAGAAATAAAGGGTTCATAGATATATCTATGAGCAATTGTGATAGAAAACAAAGTTCCCAGAGTAATAGTAAATTTAAATTCCAACAAGGACTAAAAGGAAATTAATTAATATATTCCACAAAGTGATCATCAATACTTCATGAGTATTACATTTGATTGCATTTGGAAGAACATATATAATGCCGACGGTTGATGCCTGAGTCCTGAATGCAAAGTATTCATCCCTTTGTGAATCACCTGTTTCAAAGTCAAAAGTTAAGCAAAACTTTATTGAAATTACCTCAAGTAAAACAACTATGGGTAAAAACAAGAAATCATAAGTCACAACATGGAATAATCCAAGGAGACTAGAAGTGCACACTCCAATCACAACACGTAAGGATTAATGTAAATTTGACAAATCAGAGGGCCATATGGAGAACAAGTTTGAAACCAACCTGGTCACAATCAAGGTCATACATTTATGAGCTCAAGTGTGTGTCTGTGTACTAGTCTAGTAGTACTTAGCAACAAAGTTAATATATATTTTACTAAATAGAAACAAGTCAGACAGACAGATTACTGTAATATGTATATATATATAGGGATCAAGGAAAGGAAAGAAGTTGCATTGCATAGCAGCAGGAGCAGCTTACTCAATTAAATTAGCGCACAAAGCAACCAAGCAGTTTGCCATCGAAGGTGCGACCAGATTCTGAAGCCCAGTCGAAAGGAAAGACGCAAGAACCCAAGGTTTTGGCTGAGAAGGATCTTGTTGAACCATCATTATTCTCGGAAATGGAAAATTCGAATGTCACGACAACGAGATTCATCTTCTCCGTCGTAGGAATAGGATGATCATCATCAGCTTCCAAGCCTGGGATGAAACTGGCAATAACAAAGCAGACTTTTCGACCTCCTAGATGGACAAATCTAAACGTGTCATGTGATCTACCAAGTAATGCATGGAACTCTGTCAGCAGATGTAGAGGTTGGATGCGATGATAATAACAATAGCCATTTTCATCATCGTGGAACATGGCATAGGCTACTACATCATAACCATGTCCATATCCTGGGATGCGTTCATAGCCAAACATTATCTTATTACATTTAAGGTCACTACCTTCCTCCTCCAAGTCCACCACTAAAGCAAGGCCTAGGAAGGGAAAAGGCTCAGCAGAGCACACCCACCATTGGCGGGGATTCGGGGCGGCGACGTCGAAGCAAAAAGCTGGAGTTATTGGTGTGGAGACCATGATCTTGGTGCCCACAATCGCGTAAGAGAAGTAACGAAATGCACGAGGACAAGGCCGTATATATGGAGGGTCCGGCAGAGTGGTCCAAGTCCCCGAGTTGAACTCCTCAAAAACCGGACTTTTAGAGAAACATCGCGGACCACCAGAGAGAACATAGAGCTTCCCACCAACCTCAACCACCAATGGTTCAGGTTTCCCTTGATGAAGTTCACCATAGCAGCAGTCCCCCTTGATGATCCCGCCAAATTCTCCTTCATCACTAGTAGTGTGACTGTGACTATGACTGTGACCGTGATTGTAAACTACTTTCTCCTTTCTTTTCCCATCATCATCTGTCTCAAACATATAAATTTGTTTGCTCCCATATGATCCGTATCGAAGCCCCGTCTTCTGCTTCGGGTCCCGTGGTTCCAGGCCGCCGGCAAGAACAATTTGGGAGCCCAATAAACCGCAACCCATCAAGTAGGGAACATCCTTGCCCTCCACAGAAGCCAATTTTCGCAGCAAGTCTATCTTGGATTTGGATTTGAAGGTGGATAATAAATCGCTCAATCTGATGGCGCGGATATCGTAATGAGCATGACCGGTTTTGGACTCGTAGGTACATATATATAGAGACCTACTATTGGTTTCAGTATCATCCGCCACCAGCCCCTCCGGAATTCCCATCATGCGTAGCCTCCTCGCCATAGTTTGTTTTTTTTTTTTGGAGCTCTCGGATCTATTCTTAGCTCTATGTTTTCTGATTTCTTATGTTTGATTTGCTCTTGTGTTGCACCGCTACGCTTTTATATAAAACATAATGAATGTATTTGGTGTGTGTTAACTATGGGAGATTTATTTCCTAATTCTTGTACAATTGTAGACTTTGTTTTCTGTTCTACATATGCGTTA